CTGAACATTGTCATTGTTGATGGAGGAAGGAAGGATGCTTGTATACACATGTGCGCATACACACAAACAATGCATTAGAAACAATAGTGGTGGTCTAAAGGTGCAGTTCACTGTTACGTGTACATACGCATATGCACACACATGCATGCACAAGGGCAGAGTTTATTCCAATATGGAACAATCAAGATAGCTTAAAGCATAATCTTCATTGTTTATTGTTTTATATCAAGGTTGAGGAGTGAATTCCCTGCCAAAACTACTCGCACACACAAATGGCGTAGTTCCCAATTTATTTTTAGTTATCTCCTTTTTCATGGCCATCTCTAAGACCTTGGCGACAGGATAATTTAAGGATGTATGATGTCATGACTGTAGCTGAACGTTAGGAATGTTAGGACAAGTGCGATACGGACATTATGTGAACAGGGTTGGTCAGATTGCAACAGGATGTATATACATGTTCCCCGGCATCCGCTTATTAATTTTTAATCAGCATTTGAGGGTGCGAGAGCAAAGGGCAAGTTGACAACCTAAGATGTTTCCTCTCATGTTAACTTGTCAATCGATCGCATATGCAGCAAACCTTAAATTAGCATCAGTCAATAGCTCAGGCCACGCTGATCTGAGTTTCAGACGTGTCTGCCAGCACATAGACCATCAATCTATGGTGCTGCCAAAGAGTGTGTGTTTGTGTCCTCTAATAATATCCTTCTCTGTTTCTTTTTCCAGCTGTATTTTGGGGAGATATTGCCTTGGATGAAGAGGACTTGAAAATTTTTCAGATCGATGGAACAATAGAGCTTTCACAGCAGTCCCATGGGATATTATAGAGCATTGCTTCTGAACAGTCAGCGTTGTTTCGTATTTTGGCATCTAAAAAGTAATATGGCTGCTAAATGTTTAATGTTAGTTCTAGTTATTTGATCTAGTATTTTTTTTCTGTCTAGATCCCTACAACACACTTTAGACATTATAAATCTGTCACATAATCTGGATTTAAAAAATGAAAGGTCCTCAGTTTAGTTTGAGGTTTTAATGCACATGTTTTTTTCAGCTGAGTTCAGTAGCAGATGTGCAGCAGACGAGGTTAAAGCTGCACTGAGCAGCTGCTGAGGGTTGAAGGTTGTTTCTGGTGCAGAACAACAACAATGACTCTTTCTACAGTAAGGTTCAAGGTTTGAGCTTCTGTTTCACTCAGTCCTTGAAGCTGGCCATGTGCTTTTTTTGTTCCGATGTCATGTTTGAAGTCAGACCTTCCTCTAGGCGTTAAATGCTCTGATCTAGCGCTGGCCTCTGCTTAGTTTCGACTGCAGGGTGACACAGAAACACACACACACATACATAGTCTGTGTGGATTTGTATTTAAGATAATGTCTTGATCAGTCTGAAGATGCTGAGTTGTCAAAAGGATGGAATGAATGTCCATGATTGTGTTGTGGGCTGTGGAAGATTTAAACTTATTGAAGTCGTACTGAAGTTGAAGAATGTGTGGGGATATTGGGAGTTTATAGCTTCAGGTGATTAGACTTGATTAATGCTCCTGTCTCAACTCCACTGCACCATCAGCAAACAACTGTGTGTGTGTTTGCATTGCAAGGTCTTTGTCTTTTGCTTCTTATGCAGTGGGAAAAGTGCAGAAGCGTATGTGTGTGTGCAAATGTTTGTTTCTTTGTGAGTTAGAATAAACATTGTTAACAAAATCCTTCCTTGCTGATATATAAACTGACCGAAGTCAAAATGTGCGTGTGTGTGACTTTCCCAGTGGCACATTGTTAAGGTAAACTCTGCGTCTAAAACAGGATACAATCACCGGTATGAGTAATGACTACTCACAGACTAGCAGCCAACTAAGAGAACTTTACCTTGCTGGGTAGCGGCATTGTCAGCAACATCACTTTTATCATCGTCTGAGTCTTTGGCAGCACAAAGATGGAAGTGAGGCCAAAAAGACGATAAGGATTCAGCTTTGTGTTTCCGCTCTGACTGGGGTTGTTACAGGATGTGCCACCGGGGCAGAAGGGCAAACTGCATCAGGACCAGGAATAGCAGGAGAACTGATGCATGTTTAAACCAGTCAGGACAGGTCTTTCTTGGATATTTCCAGATTCATCAGGATGCTGTCATGGAGACACACACTTGTATACCTGCCAGTGTTATGTGCATGAGATAGAGTGTTTGTGCGCACATTAATCCCAAAGCTCAGACTTTTCCTGTGTCTTGGATTCAGAGTATTGTTTGTTCCTCACTTTCCTGTCCCCATCAGAGAAATTCCAGAGAAAGAGAGAGACAGAGTAAATGCAAAAGTAAGATAGCAGAGGAACTGACATGTGTGAATAGAGATGTTCAGTGAGAACCCTGGGAGTAAAAGACAGGAGTAGGTGAGATGTTGAATGAGGGAGAAGAGGCTGGTGAATGGAGGAATGAGGAGAGGTGAGGACAGATAAAATAAGTGTGATAATGGCAGAGAGCTGGTGATGGAAGTTTCTCGGCTCACTGACTGTGTTCATGGAACTTTATAATGGCACCAGTTAAACTTGATGTGAAGGGATAGTTCACTCAAAAATGAAAATTCTGTCATTAATTACTCACCCTCACGTCGTTCCAAACTCGTAAGACCTTTGTTCATCTTCTGAACAAAAATTAAGATATTTTTGATGAAATATGAGAGCTCTCTGATCCTGCATAGACAGCAATGTAACTGAGATGTTTCCAGGCCTAGAAACGTAGCAAGGACATCGGTTAAACAGTCCATGTGGCATCAGTGATTCAACCTCAATTTTACAAAGCTACGAGAATTCTTTCTGTGCACAAAGAAAGCAAAAATAACGACTTTATTTAACAATTTATTTATTTTACATTTCTGGGTCTGGGAACATTTCAGTTACGTTGCTGTCTATACAGGGTCAGAGAGCTCTCAGATTTCATTAAAAAAAATTTTTATTTGTGTTCTGAAGATGAACAAAGGTCTTACGGGTTTGGAACAACATGATGATGAGTAGTTAATGGTAACATTTTCGGTTTTGGGGGAACTGTCCCTTTAAGGAAAGTTTACTCAAAGAGTAGCAAAAACAATCACACAGTGTTCTCATAAAATTAAAATATCACTTTCACAGCATTCTCAATATAACTCCCTTGTATGTTTTGAAAAAAAAAATTAATTTGTGTTCTGAAGATGAACAAAGAGTCTTACGGGTTTGGAACAACATGATGATGAGTAGTTAATGGTAACATTTTCGGTTTTGGGGGAACTGTCCCTTTAAGGAAAGTTTACTCAAAGAGTAGCAAAAACAATTACACAGTGTTCTCATAAAATTAAAATATCACTTTCACAGCATTCTCAATATAACTCCCTTGTATGTTTTGTTTCTCTCAGGTGGTCTAGGAGAGCATAATCCCAGTAAGAAGAGAGGTTCCTTATATCTGTTGCTAGACAGAATACGACAGTTAGGTTTTGGTAAGTTCAAAACACTGGATTGTTTCTCAGCTTTTTTTTCTTATTTACCCCACAGCACCATTAGCAAAGCCTCAAATACCCCTTCATCAGCATTTAGAATTAGCATTGTTCACCCTATCTATTTTATCAATTCATCTTGATCAATTAATCATTTATATTATTGTGAATGATTCATCCATGTGTATGTTTCTTTTTATGTATTTTTTTAGAGCTCAAAATTGTATAACTCAATCATTTGGTGAAACAACATACTTTTTTTCCTGGTAATGAATGTAGGACTTCTCCAATAGCATCAAACCCCGTCCCTTTCTTAAATTCGACCTATGATAATTCAATACAAGTACAGTTTCTAACAGCTCTGAGAGCAATTATTTATAATCTTTCTCCAAGAAAGTCCTAGCAGCAAATTTATTTAATGTGAACAAATGTAAAATGATTTGCAGCTTTTGTATGACTAATTTTAATTATAATGAAACCTCAATAATTATGAAATGCCCCAACGAGACTCACTATAATTTGCACAAATGTAAGATTTATTCTACTAAATTTTGGGAAGATGTTGTCAGACTTTGTTCCTTGTTTTGTGTGTGTTTTGCTCCCCATGTGCCTTCCTTGCCCTTATTTGGTCCTTCCTGTTCCTGTCCCCATTTAGTTCTATTAGTTCCAGGTGTTCCTTGTTATTAGTTATCCTCCTCACCTGTCTGCCCCTCGTTATCTGCCCTATTTGAGTTCTAGCCCGTTCTGTTCTCTCTTGTCTGGAATTGTTTATGTCTACTTCCTCTGCTACGTGTGCTTTCCTGGTTCCCTGGATGTGATTAAAGTCTCCTTGTTTATGTAACCCACATCCGTTCTGTTCTCTTTTGTCCGGAATTGTTTATGTCTACTTCCTCTGCTACGTGTGCTTTCCTGGTTCCCTGGATGTGATTAAAGTCTCCTTGTTTATGTAACCCACATCTCCTCGTTCCTCGCTCCGCGCCTTCTCACAGTAGCGAACGTGACAGATGTTGTGTTATTTAATGAATGCAGATTTATATGGTGTTTGCATCCATGCATTTTGATGCAGTTTGAGGAATACAGAACCTGTGTTTGTAATTATCTTAGGGCTGCCACTAATGACTATTTTTATTTCGATTAATCTATCGACTAATTTATTGGTTAATCGATTAATCTAAATGTTCTTTTAAAGAACATTTTATTAAACTTGCAACTTTGCCATTCAGTAGTGTACCATAAAAAAGTATAAATGTAAACAAGCCGTTGACGAAATGTAAAAATGTAAACAAACCTAATAAAAATTAAATTAAAAAAACATAATTACAAAAGTCTGAGAAAGTCAGCATGTTCTTAATGTCAATATATCCACATGTTCTGGGCATTACAGCTGTGAGTGCAACTACAAAGGGGGAAAAAAAATCTGTTTCAATTAACCCCAACAGTTGGGTTTTCACATTAAATAAATGCAATGTTTAGAGTCCACTAGAATCAAGTATTAAAATTGTATTATTAAAAGTTGTTATTATTAAAAATTTTAAGTATTAAAAGTACTCTTAGAAATGTGTAAACAACAGATTTAAACAGACATCTCCAGCATGATGAAAAAAATGAACAGAAGACTTCAGTAGTGAAACTCCAAACGAAATTCAAATTTCTATGAAATCCTTTTTTAAAGCAAAAGTAAAGTGCAACATAGAGTGCAAGAAGCAAGTGTCCATCTCATAGTCCAAATCACTGAAATCAAAGTTCAGTATTATAGTGTAAGAATGACAACATGTCCACGTGTTCTGGTCTACTAATAATAACATATTATAATTAATAATTAATTTTTGTGGTAATAAAAATAGATGTAGGCTAAGTGAACAATAGCCTTTAAATTTACTTAAAATACATATATAATAGCAATGAGGCAATAATAATTAGTTCAAATAAAGTATCAAAAGCAAGAAATCATATGGTTTCATTGAACAAAACTGTTAAAATACTGTATTATAATGCAATAGAGCCACTGATCTATATATAATTATAAAATAATATAATATAATCTCTATTATAGATCAGTGAATAGAGCTAATGTACAGCTCCGCAGGGGGCGCCAACGGCCTGGCGATTGTTTTTACACATTACTGTGCGATCTAACACTTGTTTAACATTGACCAAGCACCATTTCATTAAAATGTCCACTTAATCTTTAATATTTGGAAATTTCTTTATGACAGAAATGAGTGAGTGAGGGTTTGAGCTTTTATTTTGAAACCGCAAGATAATGATGTATTCTCCTGTGTTTGCGTGGATTTATAAATGATTTACCTTACAAATCTGATGAAATCGCGCACGTTGCGTTCCCAGATGAACGTTATAATAAACCCAAACTCACAACAACATGCAGAGATGGAGTTTGAGACGCTCCACAC